ACACCCTTAACCGCTCACTCTCTACCACTATTTATAGTAATCATCAATGAGTATGAGCCATTGGATTTGTCTTGAGCCCCAAGCAACAATCTCCACCTTTGAATTTGGTTCTAGCCCAATCTTCAATTGATTTTTCAAAAGAGAATGAAATCCGGCCCACTTGAGTTTAAAAGCCAATTCATGAGTCTCTGGCCCACTCAAACATTTCCATTTCAAAATTAATAAAGTCCGGCCCAAGCCTTGATTTTCCAAGTCTCCAAAAATGCAGCAATCATGTTTTTCCCATTTGATTTTTTTTTCTTTACATTTGATTCAACTCTCAACAAATCCGGTCCATATGCCCAAGTCCACATTTCATTTTGCTTTTGAAATCAAAAGCCAAGTCTTCAAAAAGTTTGTCCGGTCCAATAAGCAATCCGGCCCCAAATGGAAATTTCCATTTGATTTTCACTAACAACAACTGCAGCAAGTCTCAAAGCCTACTTGTGTTAAAATCCTCATTTTTACATTCAAGTCCCTTTCCATTCCAACTTTGCATAAAAATCCAATCTTGTTTGCATCCGGTCTTGTTTCCCTTGTGTAATCTTTTTGCTTTGGGCCTTCACAAATTCGAAAATTTCACTTTGGCTTCTTGAATCATTTCTTCCTTTGGCTTCATGGGCTTCATTTCTTCATTAAATCAAGGGGTTTTTGTTGAGATATTGGAGTTTGAGATTTATTCATCATTAACCTGCAATTAACAGATAAAAACAATTATTAGTGGTATATTTATTCATATAGAATAGATAATGAGGATATAAAATTGTAATAAAATATGATTATCAAATACCCCCACACCTAAACTTTTGCTAGTCCTCTAGCAAAGAAAAATAAAAAGAAAATCCTAACTCACTTTCGCAGGAATCGCGATAGTATTTAGCGCATACAACAAGCCTTTAAACCCCTAGGTTACCCTAGTGGACGAGTTGTAGTCTCGTGAGGGTTTGCAGTGAATATACCCACAAAATTCGGTCAACTTACCAAGTTAAATAAGTCAGTAAATAACTAATTTTCCTTGATATATTTAGACAAGAAAACGTTTTTATATATAACTCCCAATGTAAATTCCTTAGAAAATCTTTTTCATTATAGCAATACAAAACCAAGTCAAATCTTAGAAATTTAATTAAAAAGTTTTTAAAAGAACATGCCAACTCTTTGTTTTAAATAACTTTCAAGTCTCTTGATCAAAAATTATTTTTCAAAGACCATATATACAAAAGAACAATATATAAAAAAACAATGGTTAGTGTTATATATATATATATATATATATATTTTTTCACTCTCTAATTCTTGGTGATTGTTTTCTTTTTTACCGGGCTTTCTAAGTGACCATTTAACGAGTTTTGGGCCAATGAATCCCAACCCAATTGGGCTTAGGTCATTAAGTATAGAGATACTCCTTGGGCTTAATTACTCAGTCAACTTAGGCTTTATAAGATAGAATCACCTTGAATTTAAGAATTTTTTTTTTTTTATAGTGGTGCCCATTTTTCGCACTCTTCTTTTATAAGGTTAGTTTTTTTTTTATATATATATGTGTGTAAGTATATATAGTCTTAAAAAAAATGTGTAAATCAAGATAACTTGAAAAAAAATATTTTCAACTCTAAGTTAAGCATGCAAAAATTTCAATTTTTTTTTCATTAAAAGTCTAAGGTAAGACTTAAGCAAAGTATACTAGTTGAAAAATTATTTCTTAAGAACTTTATTTGGAGTTATCATAAAAGGTGAACTTGAATATGTCACTAACTAAGACTTAGAAAATTTAAAATCTATCAATTTGATCAATTATTACTTTAACTCTATTAATTTGGCAAGTGACAATATTTTTATAATTTTTTTTTAACAAAAAGAAAGAAAAATATAACTAAAAAGGTAAAATAAAGAGGAAAATATGTATTTCTCACCCCCACACCTAAATTTTGCATTGTCCTCAATGCAAATTCGCTGAAGCACAAAGTAAAGCAGATAAAATTGAAGAACTTACAGTTGTTCGGTTGACAATGATGATAATGATCTACAATTACTGTTAGTATGAGGATGAAGAAATAAAATAAGAGGAAAATTGTAAGTATTTTTTTTTATTTTTTTTTTACCTATGTAACTTATTCAAAATTTTTTTCTTTTTTAAGAAACAAAAGAACTCTTTTTTTTTAAACAAAAGAAAATTAGTTTTTTTTATAGATAATGAGGTTCATGAAGAACCAACACCTCTTCCTCTCCGAGCG